AAAGCAAATCAGTCTTTTCAGCTTAAATGAATCATCGTTGCAGTGATATGAAAACATTTTTATCAACATGTTAATTAAAATAAAAGAACAGTATTACCTCAGGGCCGAAGGCCTAAAACAGACAGTCAGTAGTGAGGCATTTATTTGGAAAGGTTTAAAAAGGTTTAGGTGGTGAAACGTTGTTTAACACAAACACCAGCTCTAATCAGCTTCGCAGGAGCACGCAGGTTATCAGCTATTTCTGTGCACCGTCACACCAAATGTGGCGCCCTCACCCTGCCTTTCAATCCAAGCTGGATGAGGTAAAGCCGCTCCACACTTAGCTATTCTTAACCGGGTGACAGGAAGAAAAAGAATTACTGGACCTTCTGCCACAGGTTTTTTAAATTTATTTTAATATTAAAAAATAATTTAATCATTTGTATGGAGCTTTCTACTTGAATACTTACTCCAACTCAAAATGTAGAAGAAAAAATATTGTTCTAAAGTGAGCAACAACATTTAAGTGGATTTAAATTAGGATTAAAGCAGTTTTTTAAGTAATTTTCTTAGTTTTAAATGTTTCTCCTCTCTCTGTTCACAGGGTTTTCAAGAAGACCAGTGGAAATGGAGGGGTCAGTGCTTGTTTTTTGTTTAGATCCTCACATTAACCGTATTAAAGTTCTGAAAGTTTAAACTGTTTTCCTGTTGCCAACAGCTGACCCTCTACCTGGGGAAGAGAGATTATGTGGATCATGTCACAGCCGTGGACAGAGTGGGTGGGTTTTCAGTTTTTGCTTTCCCTAAGAGTGTCCTGCTGCAACGCCATGATTTGAAATATTACTCCTATCTTTTCAGATGGGGTAGTAAAAGTGGAACCAGCTGAAATTGGTGACAGAAAAGGTAACTTTCTTTTTTTCTTAAGTATGTTTAGAATTTTCTGCTGAGTCACTTTGGGCAAACAATAAATCTGATTTTGTGTTGGTAGTTTTCGTACAGCTGGCATGTGCCTTCCGTTACGGCACCGAAGACCTGGACGTGATGGGCCTGTGCTTCAGGAAGGACATCTGGCTCTCACAGGTCCAGCTCTTCCCCGACGGCACCAAGCCTGAGCTCAGCGAGATGCACGAGACCCTGCTGAAGAAGGCGGGGGACAACTCGTACCCCTTCTCCTTCCAAGTACGTGGAAGAATTCAAGGCACCGGCTGGTCCGTTGGAAAATAAAATATATGATATAGATAGTGCAGCTTGTTCATCATAATACTATTATTTATTTTTAATTTTGTTCTAGTCAGTTAATCCACATAGTGCTGTGAGAGCAAAGACAGCCACAGAGTCAGGAAATATAATCTGTTTGTCCTCCAACAGCTTAGCTCAGGAAACCCAAACTAACCCAACTGTTGGATTTATCAGAAGGGATATTTTAAGTTTTAAAAGTAAAAAAGAGTATCATCTTCACGGACTAAAACTTAAAGTTGGTTCTACAAAAGTCTACAAGTCTGATGCTTCCGGGTTCTACTTTTAGAAACTTTAGAAACTCTAGGGGAACACAAGTAAACCTGCAGTCTGAGAGCAAAGTTTGGAAAATTTGGAACAATAAATCTTTAATATAAAACAAAGCTTGATTGTTGAGAACTTCGTTAGAATTAGTACATAAAATTCCAGTCTAATGTTGTCATATAAATAAGTACTTTTTTACTTGAATAACATAAATACCACCCTTTAGTTTATTCATGTTTAGTCATTTGAACTCTGTGGGGTGCCGTTTGTAAAGTTACACAGTCAAAAATTAGCATCAATATTTTTGTTTTATTTAGCCTTTCATCAGAAAAAAATAACATTTATTTTTCAAAGTCAGTTTTCACCATTTGATTCATACATTTATAAATGTCGTAGTTTATAAACTAAATATTTAACTTACAAATTAAATATTTAGTTTACAAGCTAAATATTCAACTTGTGACTTAAGTTTGGTTTTGAGCTAAATGTTTAGCTTGAAACCTAAATATTTAGCTTAAATATTTAGGTAGCTAGCTAAATATCTAACTTGCTAGCTAAATATTTAAGTTTCAAGTTAAATATTTAGCTCAAAACTAAATATTTAAAGTCACAAGTGAAATATTTAGCTTCTTAACTAAATATTTAATTTGTAAGTTAAATATTTAGTTTATAAACTATGACATTTATAAATGTGTGAATCATATGGTGAAAAACTGACTTTGAAAAATAAATCAGTTCTTTTTTTCTTATAAAAGGCTAAATAAAACAAAAATATTGGTGGTGATTTTTGACTGCGGCGCCCCATAGACCTGGTTTTCTTTGACTCTTTGCTGTATGTCATGTTTTGCTGTCTGCCTACTTTGTGTTTTATCAAAATAACACTTCCTTTGATGAATTTACTAAGATTATTTTGAGCACACAGGACTATCAACCTATTTAAGTGGAATTTATTTTTATGTCCTGCAACCAA